CGAGTGATAGCTCTGGCCTTCCTATATCTCATCTTCTTGATCTTCCAGGTTTGGGGTTCAGAGTTTTTTCTTCTCGATTTCTGCCAGACTATAGAGCTCTCTGCAGAAGGATACACAATTTCAAGTCTGATTTTTTCTATTTGATCTAAATGGCTCTATTTATATATATATCACTTTTCTAAAATTTTGAGGATAAATTTTGAGGATAAATCCTTTCCTGGTTTTAGCACTGATGGTTTCTTCTTTCCTCTTTTAGTACTTTTTGTTCATCTGTTTCTTTTGGGGATGGAAGCTTTGAAACCTTTACCCACATGGCACTCCCCTCCCCACCACCAACCACGCAAGCTCTGGTTTATCTTCTGCTTCACTAATACCATTTTCTGCTAAGACCATTTTTATTCTACTTTCTGCTTTATCAACTGCCTTCATTCAAGTTCCTAATTCAGATTTTTCTTTCTTTTTTTGGTTAGTGCAGACTCATTTCTGATCGCCTATATTTTTTAAAAAGTTTTCTCTTTTATAATGTACACTTATTTCTTAAGTAAATATTTGCTCTGATTCTAGAGTCTTCCCTTCTCTTGAACCATAATATTTTTCACTTGCCTGGTGGATTTGGATTTTTCTCTGTTGCTTCTCCTTAGAGAGGGAAGACTATGCATCTTCAGCATCAGGTATCGCCCTGTGTTCTTTCAAGAGACTGAAATGAGTCATTGTTTGACTCAAGTCCAGATGAAGGAAAAAGGTTAGACTTATAGTAGATTAACTTGCTATTAGAAATTCGTCTTCCTATGAGGCCTCGGGAAAGAGCCAGCATCAGCTGCAGAAGGAATCAAAGGGAAGTTTGCCTCAGAACTAGACACTTGCTTTTAGGTGTTTGGTATGGCACTCAGTAATTAGCAAGTTCATTGTCACTTGAGATGGCTGCCCATGTCAGAAGCCAGCTGGTAGTGTTTTTTTCTCCCTCACATATTTTCTGGGACAATCATGATGGCCACATGTAAATGAGAAGTAAATACAGCCAATGATTACTTGCTTAGTGGGAGCCAGGAACCGCTTTTAAGGAGTGAGTGTATTTGAAATGTACTCCGTCTCTCCCTGGTTTGGTTCCCTCCATCTCTCATTCCTCTGAACTAGCGGTATCATTACGAGTCTGTTGGGATCTCATTTGCTTATTTTCTGTCCATGTAGTTGCAGTTTCACATGAAGGGGATATTGTGCCTCAGTCCTTCTGTCAGCCTCTCCTGTGGATTCTTTCCAGTGTATATTCCTGGAAGTTGAAGCAGCAGCTTAAACCGGGATCCATCTGCGGCTTATTCGGGATGTTTCCTATTCTTATATTTAGTTGGCTATTTCTCTAGTAATCTGGCACAGAAGAGTGAGTCTACATAGCTTTCTTATCTGTGAGTTGTATTTTATATATCCATTTTGAATTGTAGAGGGGGATATTGAGGTAATTCGGACCCGGTGACTATAGGGAATGGATGAATGGGCAAATAAGTAAATAAACGACAAAGCTCATCTTTTGCAAGAGAGGGGCATTAGAGGTAGTTTTGTGGTTTTGAGAAGAATGATATAGATTAGAAGAAATGCCTAGAATGGGAAATGGAGACAACAAGGGAAGAAGAGGGGAGACAGTAATAGTTCAAGGGCATCTGGGGTTAGTGGGGCCAGTCCACACTGCTTTGGGGTTTTCTGCAGCTGGAGAAGCCATTGGAGCTCAAGCAAAGGAAATGGAGAGTTAGGCTGAACTGCAGGACAGGTATCCACATACTGGGAAGAGTTCAAAGAGGGATGTATTTCTTTAAAAATTCTGGGCAACTCTGTAGTTGACAGTCTGGGGCTCTGGGAAAGCAGGAGACTAGTATGTCAAAGTAAACCAGCTTACATGGCTAGAGATTGAGTGGTATTATTGTTTAGGATAGTCTCTTTTTTGTCGTCTAGTTCCCCCATGATTTATGCAGTTTTGTAAATAGATTTCATAAATGTAGTTTGAAGACATCACTCCCATGAGAGAGCTGATTTATACCCTTTGAGGTAGTATTGCTTTGCTCTTGTATTTTCAGAGTTAAGTAACCATACACCATTTTATAAAGGGCTCTTATAATGTAAGAATGGGTTCAACAAAAGCCTCAAAACCAGATCTGTCTTAAATACTTTAGGGGAAGGCAGTTAATTTTGTGTCTAATTTTCTTCTTGAAAATATGAAACTAACAATCTGTATTATCTATTATATATCTCAAGGATATGTAACATACATCAAAACTAGGGACACATCATTCAAGTTTTATATAGATGAGAGCAGCATAGGATTTTCTGTGCCAGGGTTTGGGGAAAAACGGTTACTCTGCAGGACATCTGACTTGCATCTTGCTTTCTTCAGGACCGCGTGAAACTTTAGCTTAAAAAACCTCCAGGCGGGGCTGGCCCTGTGGCGTAGCGGTTAAGAGCGCGTGCTCCGCTGCTGGCGGCCCGGGTTCAGACCCCAGGCGCGCACCAATGCACCGCTTGTCAGGCCATGCTGTGGCGGCGTCCCATATAAAGTGGAGGAAGATCTGCACGGATGTTAGCCCAGGGCCAGTCTTCCTCAGCAAAAAGAGGAGGATTGGCATGGATGTTAGCTCAGGGCTGATCTTCCTCACAAAAAACAAAAAACAAAACAAAACTCCAGGCACTTTCTACCTCTTCTTAAATTTTGTTCACTGGAAGGGTAGTTTCTGGAAAGACGTGGGCCCTAGAGCAGGTCCTGGATCAGGTCTCAGCTCCCTCATTTCCCGGCCATGTGACTTTGGGCGTGTTGAACAACCTTTCAAAGCCTCAGGTTTCTCATCTGTAAATGAGTTCACAATATCTGCCTCAAACTGTCTGTGAAATGACTGCTCCAGGGCTCAGCAGCTAGTAAGCTTTCATTAAATCCCACTTTCCCCCTTTTCTTGTCGGCAGTGATGCCATATGTCTTATTTGTCACATCCATTTCTATATCCCTTCCCTTGCTCCAGGCTAGGTGCTCAGCGTTCACGATTCGGGCAACACTATGTACTCTGAATATTGAAACTATTTTAATGTTATGTTGCTTAAGGACTTAGCTTGGCAGAAATGATATCGGACCGGAGCACACGGTGTGAGTCTTTAGGAATAGAATCTCACTTGTCTGCTTATTTTGTTTTTTGGCTATTATGCTATTTATATATTGATCTGTCCACCCCACATATGATAGAGCAAGATAATGTGAATTGTAAATACGTGAGAAGGAAAAATAAAAAAGTAGAGGTGGGCACAAAATGATGCCAGGAATAAGTTCAGTACAAAACAGCGCACCATGGGTCCTATAATGTTCTCAGGGTAGATATGGCACTCGAGCGGCCATGAAAGAGGAAAGGCACTGCCACACACGTATCTCTCTCTCCTGGGCTGTTCATTTAATTCACAGTGTGATAAACAGCAGGTCTTTATTTCCCCCTAAAACTGGAATCAAGGAGAACATCAGTATTGTCTCAGGGCAGCTATGGAATTTTGTGTTGACTGTTATACCAAAATAGCTTTACTTCTTATTTGTTAAGAAAAATAGTCACTCTAACAGAGGGAAGAAAATAGGAAGGTGCCACAGTGCTAAACAATTAAAATGTAAAGTGGTTAAAACTATAGTATGAAGGATAATACACAAAGACAGGATAAAAATCAAAATCTGAAGTTCATGTAAGTTGCTGCCGAACCTGGATTATTTCTTAGGAAACGGGTCTTCTGAGGTTATGTAACTTGCCCAGCATCATCCCGCTAGTATAGAGGATTTGGGTCAAAAGATTTGGATTAAACGTCCAACTCCACCATCACTACTGCTCAAGAGTTGGATCTTGTGATCCTGGTTCATTACTTTCATTGTGATGAAAAGTATCATTTTCCAATAGTTTAAAAGTGTTCAGGTATCATCTTGCATGCTGGTGAAACTAGAAAGTGTATTTACAAACAAAAATCTCCCTGAAGGCAGGGGCCGGCTCAGGATTACCCATGAAGGCCTTAGTTGCTGTGGATGCTCAATAAGTATCTTTTGAAGAAAAGGATATCGTTAGGTGGTATGAAAACCTAAAAATGAAAAATTCTCTTAAAAACTCCCCTTCTGGACTAAATTGCAGTGTGGAAACAATCACATCAGTCTTTTGACAGAACTTGGGCCGTGCTTTACTGCAGGGAATTTAGTGTCTTTTTGAACTTTCTTAATAAACTTATTAATAATGGAGGATTTGGTTACACTTTGTATTTATCTAGCATCCTCTCTTTAAGGATGTCAAAAGGATTGTAGAAATGCACTCCTCCTCACATGTGTGGATGTCTGACTTACGAAGCCCTCCACCAAGTACCTGACTCGTTCTTGTGACCGACTCCTGTATCTTTGGGGTGTCTTGGCTTTCTTGAATCTTGCAAGTGGTGACTAAGTTTCCCGAGGAAATATAAACGCAGGACATGTTCACTTTCTTATGTTTCATGCTGGACTGGGAATCGGTGGTTGTTCTAGTCCTGGTTCTGCCATTAACGAAATGTGTGATTCTAGTGCCTTCTCTTCTCCAAGTCTGTTCTTTCATCTGCAAATGGGCAGACTTGAACTGGCTGATCTCTAAGACACTTGATGGTATTATTTCCCCTTTGCGCATAAACTTGTCAGGTCTCAGTTATGGGTCGTTTAATTCCTTTTTTGTTTAATGATGGGATGGCTTCTCCCCCTGGCCCACTCTCCCCATCCTCACAGCTTGAAACTACCTTGCCAAACCATCTAGCCAACATGCAGAGTTGAATTCAAACTATGAAAATACATCAACTTAACATGATTTGGAAAATGGTACAGAAGTCCTGGCTCTGAGATGTTAGATGCTCCCTACTGGGTTCTTCTTTTCATTAAGGTTGTAGCTGGCATTTGGTATAGGGGATTTTTGCTTCCTATGGCCAATGGTACTTCACTCTCATATGCTAGTCCTCTCAGGCTAAATGTGGGTTTTCCAATCCTCTTCCAGGTACACAGTTTCTCCTAGCATGACTGCGATCTGATCAGCAACCACGAGAATTGGACTCCTGTGTCTGGCGCCGTAGTGCTGGGGCCTGGTCACCGCCCACAACTACAGAGCTGCCATGGCTGCTGCCTCTACTTCCACCCCTGTAATTTCTCAGCCCCAGGTAAGTGATTCAGCCCAGCTTAGGTTTGAGCTAATCATAGTTTTTTCGAATATTTAAATATTTGTCAAATATTCAGAAAGTGTGTTTACTCTAGGAATTGTGTATTATTCTAATGATCATTTGGGGGTATTGGGATCATAGTGCTTTTGTGAGGGAGATGCTGTTTAGTTCAAGAAGCAACTGGAACAATGAGCAAGTGATTTTACTGAACTGCCCTCTGTTTTGGTTTTCAATGCTTAGGATGTCGGGCTGTTACTACAGGCGTCAAACTCCAAATCAAGACAGTTGGTAGTAAATCCTACTGCTCTCCCTCTCTTGGCTTTTTTAGGGTTTAACGAAATGTCTCAGAACAGTTCTAAGCTTATAATAAGTTTTCTGAATGCTTTCTCATTGTCCTTATCCTATAACGATGATTATTTTTCCTTGACCTGTTCTAGGAACTTTGAAAAGGAAATGCAGTTCTAGAAACTTCTGAACAACAGTAATATGAGTTGCTTTTTCTGTCCAATGAAGAATAGTAGTATGGCAAGGACATTGCCTTTGTTCAGATTATTTTACAATCTGATCTATTCAGGTATTAACTAGACTCCTTCTGTCCCAGCGGGCAGCGTGGTACAGTGGGGAGACAGACGTTGGAGTCATTAGACCTGAATTCACATCCCAGTCGCGGGATAAGGAGCCTGAGTCGTGCTAACCTCGCTCAGCTTCAGTTTTTTTTTTTTCCAGCTTCGGTTTTTTTCTCGTGTAGTCGTACCTCACAGGATGATTTAAATGAGAGAATATATACGAAGCACTTAGAAGATCCTCAACAAGCGTAGTTTCCCGTTCGCTCTTCCTTCACCTTTTCTTCCTCCTTTTGGAGTGTGACCTCCCGTCTCGTTGATGACAGTCATTTTTAGGCCAACGTTAAAGAAAAAAGTCTACCTTTGAGCAAGAGCCATACTGATGGAAATTTGAATCTTGATGATACAGAGTGTGGTTCCACACTTTTGTTCTGTATCATTTTCCAAGCTGCTAAATTTTGTAGGTATTTGAAATAGGGGTGTGTGTGTGTATGTGTATGTGTATGTGTATGTATATGTGTGTGAGAGGGAGGGAGGGAAAGGAAGAAGGAGAGAGAGAAAGGAGAAAGGGGCCAAGGGGCATTGTTACTTCATTTGCTATAAATCCTTTTTTTTGTCCTCTAAAAGACCTTGGAATTTTGTCATACGGATAAAGTCCTTGCTGTTCCTTAACATTTTAAAGCTTTTTGTATTATTTTCCAGGATGTTTAGTGTTCCCACCTTCGTGTGTATTTCTTTCTGGTAAAGGGATCATTGCCTTTTCTACACTTCATTTACTCTGAGTGTTTGGTTTCCATTCCTCTCAATGGCGTTTTTGGTGCTCGAGAGACTTGGTGAATGGGTAAAAAGGTTTAATGCCTGTTACCTGAGGTCACCATTTCAAAGTCCACTGCAGCTGTTCCCGTCCAATGACTACTCTTTTGTGAAGTGAATTAGGTCCTAGTACAGGTTTTCTGGACAAGGCATTTCAGCATCCCAGTCTCATTGCTGTCATTTGTCAGTATTTCCAACAGCATCATCTTATCTAAACATCTTCCATCTTACGCAAGCTACTATGAGCTGGTGAGTAATAGAAATATTTTTAAATGACTCATTTAATTAAAATGTTTAACACTGCCCAAGGTAGAAAGAGGTCATATTTAATCTAAACACTTGAGGAAATGTGTACTCTTGTAAATTGTCTGTGGGAAAGTAAATTGGTACAGTCACTCTGGACGGTAATTTGACAGTGTCTATTAAAATTATATACCTTTGCATATACCCTGTTCCCATCTTGGTATCCACATTAGAAAAACACTCATACATGAGCCCAAGGAGACATGCATAAAGATTGAAGCACTAGTTGAAGGCCAAGAAATACAAAACTTTCTAATATTCAATAGTGGAAGGACTTAATAAAGTCAGGAATGTTGATATGATTTAAATACCACGCAGCAGTTAAAAAATTATAGATATCTATCCCAACACAGCTCTATCTCCTCAAGATATCTTATGGAGAGAAAAGAAAGCAAGATGCAGAATAATACTTACAGGAGGATATCATTAAAACTGTGAAACAAGACCATATGTTTTTAGCGATAAACATATGGTGCATTAATGTAAATGCATAGTGAAAGGTCTAGAACACACATTGTCAACAGGAATGATGTTGCCCCCAAGAGGGCAAAAACTGGATCTTGGGAGATGGAAAAATCCCTCCAGAGCTTAACCCTACCTGATGAAATCCTATTCCTTTGTATTTAATTTCTCTCAGGGAGAATTTAAGTTTAATTAAATTTTTCTTCTTAAGAGTCACCGATGCAAAACAACAAGTCGAGAAATACTTGTCTAGAAGGATCCACAAGGCTCTTCACTCACTGCCTGGGTTCAAATCCCGGCTCCAACATTTACTAACTGAGCCCTTACGGGGCGTGGGGAGTGGAGAAAGGTATTCACCCTCTCTTGCTACCATTTCCTCATCTGCAACAAGAGCGTAATAATAATAAAGCCAACTTCATAGGGTTGTTTTAAAGATGAAATGTGATAATGTGTAAAACTTAGAACAGTATCTGGTGCATATTGCTCCATACGTCTTAGTTGGTGTTATTGTTCAGCAGGCGCTGTGGCAGGTCTGGGTATACAAGAATAAATAGGAAGCAAGACTTCTGCTCTGCCAGAGTTTAGAAATGTAGTGGGAAATATGCAGATAAGGAAACAAAAAATGACAATGCTCTGTCACAAGTGCTATGATATAGGAAGCATAAATGCCTTAGGAGTAGAGTGGAATACCCAGGAAGATCTTGGAGGATCAGGGAAGGCTTCTTGAAGGAAGACTACCAGGCTGGGAGCTTATGCACGAGTATGAGTTATTTTGGTAAGGGAGAGGAAATAGACTGTGTGAATGTCAAATGTCCCAAGATGTGCGAGAGCACAGCGTTTGGATGTTAGTTCCGGATCATTGCAGTATAGTCAGGCATGTGGTTGTAAGCAGTAATGTGCTAGAGCCAGCTCTGCCAGCTCACAGATTTGATTAAGTTTTCAGGAATTTAGTGAGCCGATTGACTTCATGCTTGTGATTTGAAATCAGCTAGGGTGGAGTATTTACACCATGGAAATTGGCCAACACAGTCCCTCGCTCCTAAGAGCCCATTGTATTGGCATACTTCTGATTGTAGAGGAGGTGGATGGGTTAGGTGACAAGGTTGGATAAGATTTTGCAGGGCCTTGTAAGCTGCATTAAAGAATTTCACATTAAACTTGAAGAAGCCTGTGTAGCTTTTGAATCTTAGACCTGGGTTCAAACCCTGACTTTGGACGATTTTGTTGAACAAGTTCATTCATTAATCTCAACCAGGCTAGTGACTTCCATTATTTTTACCAGATGTTGGGAACAGTAGTAGCCTCTGATAGCTGGAGGAACTCAAGCCCACTTGGAAGGAGCCAGCTATAAACTGGTCACAGGTAGAGGTAGTGTACACTTCTGGAGAGACACAGACCATTGGGTCACTTCCTGGGATCCTCTGGTCAATGATGGACCTCCTGTTTATGTCAGCTCCTCACATGTTATTTGTGCAGTCAGATTTTATTCCAAGGCTGATTTACCCTTGCCCCTAAGCCTGTATTGATGTATTCTCTCCTATTATCAAGTCTACCCCAGGTTCAGAGAAGGTAAAAGTAATTTAAATACAGCATCTCATTGGGCGAGGCATAACGCGCGGCTCACTCAATCAGCTTAGGCTGGCATTGTCTGGCACATTAGCTTGCATTCTTTTAGGGTGAATTCAGGGACCTGTGTCAAGATAAACCCACATTCAAGCGTGAAAGGCCTGACAATCCTTTTCTAAGGCAAAAACAACAAGTGAAAAAAAAAAAAAGCTTTTGGTTTTGTTTGTCACTCTATTCACTTGGTAACAAAGAGCATTTTTCTAATCAAGGCTGCCTAATACTAGATATAAACTAATTCATATGAACAAATAGCCTGTGATTGTCTCAACAATAACAGGGAAGAGAGCTTTCATTGTCACTCCTACTGGGATTGCTGGTGAGTGAAAGATCTGCCTTGTGCTTTGAAGTGGGACAAGTTTGCATTCCCTGCTGTACTCCCGCCTGGACCGTAAGACGGATTTTTGTTTTCTTATGCTGAGAGAGCACCTTGTTCTTCGGAGGCTAAATGAATACTGAGGCGAAACTGGGCTAGCAGCAGCAGGAAGACTGCATGTGTAGCTGATTTATGGTTCTGCTAGTCCAGACACTGATAAAGGGCTTCCTGACCCAAAGGAAGCTCCAGGGATGTGTTTGCAGACAGGAACATGCTCATCATTAGGTTAAATGAATGCTTTCCCACCCTGTGGATGTGGGGGGATGGAGAAGGAATAGGAAATAAAAAAACTTCCCACTCTTAATGACCATTTTCTGTTGCTAGGACTCTGTTTAGCATTACTTTAATTGTGGTTCATCCAGTTACTGTGGGTAGAGTATGGATTAAAAGTGTTATTTTCCTTTTGAATGGAAGGGTCAATAGTTCAATACATGAATTGAGTGGTTTGGCCCCTCTCAAACCCACAACTGATATGAGAGACCAGAATGGGTGTCTGAGAACTTTAAAGGTATTCAGATCTCACACTTGTGATTCCAGTAGGGAATCTTTCCCATCAGGATTTTACAAGGTATTTCATTTTGTCTCTCATTTTCTAAGTGGCTATCCTGGTTTTAAGCCAAGGAAACAAAGATATTTTGATCCCTCCAAATAATTTCCTATAGCTTTCGTTAAATAAAGACATGAATTTGGGTAGATTCTTTAACGTCTTAACCAGCAGATTTGTTCTCCTAGTTCTTATCCAGTGTTCTGGTACAACACCAGTAGGTCTCTACTTGTTGTCTGTTGGAAAACAGATGTTTTTGAACATCATTACCAATAGGTTCTCCTGACAAAATCCATCATATTTCCAAAATCTGTGT